CCCCGACCCAGAAATGGATTAAGGGGAAGAAAATGGATGGATCAATGTGCCGTACGTTATTGAGTCATGAAAAAATATTGTTTATTATGAAAACATATTATTAGAAAACAAGCTATGATGATATAATTGATTTCACAAAACCTCAAAGTGCTACAGATTAAAAAAGAACTGCTTTAAAGCCCGGGATTAGTTACATGGATTGTATTACATCAAATGTCTAAATATATATCTGTGCACACGTCCTCCAGCTCATCTGAGGGAATTCTGAGACATTCCCAGGCCAGCTGAGAGGCATTGGCCCCTTCAACATTCCCTGTGTCTTCCTTTGGCCCCCCTCCTAATAGAATATGCCTGGAACACATCATCTTCTGGAAAAACACAAACCTCTGCCAAGAAGCACTGGTCCAGTCCTATGAAATTCCTGGATCCAGACATCTCATGTACTGGAAACTCCAACGTATTGATTTGTTTGTGTGTTATGCCCAGAGCACTTCTCCAGGGAAGTGGGAAAATAGATGCTCGATCCACTTCAGCTGGCTCCTCTGGGTGTGGAGGAGCAGCAACTCTACTCAAAGCTCCAGTCAATTGTTTCATAAAGCCTGTTTATATTTTTGTGACTTTTTCTGTATCATAATGTAGTTAATTTCTATGTCATTAAGTTTATGAAATGATCTCGATCCTTGACTCACTGGTTCAGAGCATTCTCAGCTTAGGGCAAGTGCTAGTTACCATAGAAATACAACGCTTACTTGCATTACAGTTAGTATTTTTGTTTTGCTGTATTTCATTTGCCTTATCAGTTTTAGCATGTATTAAAGAAGATGAAAGAAAAACCGTAGGGATTACTTGTTTTTGATAAAAGCACTGAAAAATGAAACATGCAGAGGTCCAAAGTGTCAGAAATCTGGGAGTCCAGGTTTTAAACATACGCGAAGGACTAGTTTTCAATTCTAGGCCCTGACTGAAAATCACATGCATAATTCTTTCGTCGAATCCTCTCGGGCCAGTTTCTCCTTCATCCTCTAAGTATCATAACCCAAAAAAAAAATCCTGCCTCGGCCGTTTAGCCTACTTTCCACGTCCTCCCTGGGCCGGAGTGACCCAGTGCTGGCCGACAGAAAACAGCCGTATTGTGAAACCCATGGCGTTATTAATGCATGTGGCTGCAGACTCTGATACTGCTGCAGGAGAAACGGGGAAAACAGATGTATGTTGATAGTGTCAGTTACATCAAAATAACCGGCTACAAAGGCAAAAGCACAACTGCAGTTCTCGATACACGAAATTAGCATTAGTCGTGCTGTTTACTTAGAGTACGCCTATGCAAATACTGACATTTGTTCATCTTAGTGAAGCGTTTTATTGTGCTGCGAATGTTATGGCAGAAAATCGTTTTGCAATAAGGGCTCTCTGGTATGTCGGCTCGAGCTGAGTGAAAGTCAGACTGCAGATGGCATTTGTGGCTTTTGTGTTCGTTTGTGAAGAGGACACACTGACCTGCCGACACAGGAAATATGCTTTTGGAAATTATTCATTAAGTATTTTGCCAGTTTTCTTAACATAACCTTCACTTGTGTCAGTACTTCACACGGCTAGAGAGAAATGGCTGTATTTAAGAGTCCACTCACACGATTATACTTTCTGATATTTTCCCAGTGCACACTGTCAATCCATTACACATGTGTCGAACACAAAGGCCACAGGCTGGATTTGGCTCACGAGACCATTTTTAGAGGTGAAATGAATTTATTCTTTTTGACATTTAGAAAAATAATAAATAAAACACAAGCATACGGGAGCGATAAGAAATAAAAATAAAAAACTGAGAGAATTCCACCCCCTGCTACATATCGTTATAAAACAAAGATTCCTTCATTAGCTGCATAAACAATTTAATCTTGAACAGTTATGACAGTAAATACTAAAACAATTTTTTATTATACATATTATATAGCATAAAACTCTGCAAGCGTTGATTATATTGGTTAATATGGATCTGTAAGAAAACCAACACAACTTTGAATTCCTCTTAAAAGTTGAACCCAACATTTTAGAAATTAATAAATAGGCCAAAATAAATCAATCAGAAAATACGATCCAAACCCATGTTGAATAAAACTAATCCCTTTGTCAAAAACCGTAGGACCTCCAATTTTGTCCGACCTCCTCCCGGTGGCACATGCTCAGAACAACATCCCAGCAGGCATCCGAAACAGATGCCCAAGCGACCTCGAAGAAGTGGAGAAGCAGCGGCTCTACTCCGAGCTCCTCCTGTCTGACTGAGCTCCTCACCCTGTCTTTAAGGAAGCGCCCAACCACTTTGCTGAAGGAAACCATGTCAGTCATCGCCCAAAGCCTATAACCAGAGCTCAAGCAGTACCATTACATCTAAAACTGTACTTTACTTGACACTAGTCCAGAGATTGGGGGAATTTTTGCTCCTTCAAGCCAAATTATCCATGTATGCAGAAAAGAAAAATCAAGGAACAATGCAAATCAGAACAGTGGTGGTGATCAAGGAGAAGTGGGGTTTCGAGTCAAGACAATAGTAATAACTCAGATTTGTACGAAATTGCTCTAAAAACAGTTTTGAGAGGGAAGGGAAAACTGTAACTGTAAAGATGGGAGAAGGCCATTTTGATGTCTGTTTCAGTATATCCCATTGAAATGTAAGGTCCTGTGCCATGAATACACATTCTTAGTTAAAGGAGCAATATGTAAAGATCTGGCCAAACGTGTTACTAAACTCACCCTGACTCAGGTTGCCAGATATGCAGACGAATCCAGATGGGGCCATAATAATGAATAGACAAGAGTTTTGTCAACAATAAATCTATAACCAACAACTTTTTCACAAAGACCCCGATAGAAATCCTTCTTTTTGTTGTCGTTTTGTCGTTAACGATTTGAGACATTATTTCTGCGGCCACATGTTACTTTACCGGTGAGATAAGCTCGACACGGGGGGTTCTGGCAACCCGGATCACAAAAATTCTGGTTGGTAAAACGGTGGAGGGCGGCACATCGAAATGAAAACAATAGCAAGATTTAGGGGAAATTCAAATATCTCGGCAAAGCTACTGTTAGTAGGTAAAGAAGTATTGGAAAAGAGCATGGTTAATGATTATCGCCTTTTGACAGATTAGGGCAAATTTAATGATGACTTGACATGAAAATCGTACAAATGGTAGGAGGAAGGAGGACCCAAAATGTAGGAAAGCTAAAATAATATTGATTCAATGAGGATAAATAAAAGTCCAATATGGAAAAAAAAAGCCAAATCCAAACAGAACCAGGAACAGACAGCGACATAGATGGACAATTGACCAGCAACAACAGGGACACAGAGAGACACAGGTGAAACACAGGACAGGACGTAAAACTGAACTAAAACCACAAAGAAAATAAAACCATTTAAAATAACACAAAACCCACACCGTGACAATTTGTGCATGAATCCGTTCACTTGCAACCATGCCATCAGTGTCGCACTTCCTGTCTTCTAGTTATGCACTGGAAATATGCACCATGTCTCTCGTCCATCTTAGAGTGGGACCGTTCCTTCCCACAAACACGTTTATATGCACAACATCACGGGCCCTTTCCTGAACGATCTCTGCTTCTAACAGACTGCCTGCATGTGTGCAGCTGTGAATCAGAAGCAGCCTCTCCCGCTCATGTAGATTTGCTGTTTCGTCCCTATTTTCCATGTTATTTATCGAGCACAAGGTTCAATTTACATTAAAATGAGTCCTGTTAGAATAGTCATAATAGAGGTGAGTGGAGGCGTGTGGCTCAGTCGTGACAGATGTCAAGTGCTTTTTTTCTTTTCAAAGCCATAATGGAAGAAGCTGCAGCCTGTGTAGCCTTGCATGTGGACGATGCAAATGTTAGAAAACCATGGATGATTTGTGTTTTTATTTCCACCTGCGACATGCCAGGGATAAAGTCATTAGAGGGCTGGATTTACTCAAGGCTTTTGCTTACCACCAGAAATTGTGTTTTGTGGAGTTTTTTTATGTTGTCCTCTCTGCAGTTGCGCGTTCGACCAAAAGGCCAAGGCTCATTAAGTATTTTAATTGGTTGGAGCCATCTTAGTCTTCCAAAGTGTATAATTACTTTATTGGTATTAAGGATTTATTAAGGGTGAGCCACATAGATGCAAGACATGGAGGTCAAATCTATACATTTGCAGTTTAGCGGTTTTAACTTTTGGATATGCAAGGGATAAAAACGTTTTAGCGCCAACAAGTTAACGTTTCTGCCTTTTCCAATAATACTTTTAATACAGTCCTTATTACTTGCCGTAATACCACTGGTAACATATGTCCAGAAATGTTGTCCTGTTGATTTTATATTGCGATAGTATCATAGTTTTAGCATTGATTAATATGTAATTTTGTTAGTATTATAGTAATTATAGAGTATTAAATGTATTGTATTAAGATGTATTATAATGTTTATTTCAAACTTGAACACCAACCGGAAAATACTATTGACAGGACACAAAGATGAACAAAATTACAGTCTGAAAAGGGCTTGGACGACGCAGACACTTAATGGTTCTAATCGCTCTCACATACAAACACACAGACACACACGTTCACACACACACACTCACACAGAGTGGCGCAGTGGTTAGCGCTTGTGCATCACAGTCTGAAGGTCCGGGGTTCAAATCCACCTCCAGGACCTTTCTGTGAGGACTTAGCTTGTCTGTGTAAGTTTTCTCCAGGTGCTCCAGTTTCCCCTGGTTTGTGAAAGGCGCTATATGAATAAAGATTTCTTACCAACTGTTGTCTGCAGGGTTTTTTCATGCGTTTAAAAGTAGATTTTTTGGGTCAATTAAACTGTGAAGCACTGTTACTTTTATTTTACTTCTTGTAGGAAAAGTGCTCTACAAATAAAGTTGGATTGATCTTAGTATGGTTGGCTTATCTTGATGACGCAGCTCCATGTTGAATTAAAGATACATGTGTGTGTGTGTGTGTTTTCTGCAGCTCTACATCCAGACCACCACTCTGACCATCTCCATGAACCTGAGTGCCTCGGTCGCACTGGGCATGCTCTATATGCCCAAGGTCTACATCATCATCTTCCACCCGGAGATGAACGTGCAGAAGAGGAAACGCAGCTTCAAGGCCGTGGTCACCGCCGCCACCATGTCGTCACGCCTGTCGCAGAAGCCCAGCGAGAGGCCCAACGGAGAGGCCAAGACCGAGCTGTGCGAAAATCCTCCCGTGGACCCCATGAGTGAGTACAGAACAAGCATTACTGAGATGTGATATGGGGGCGGCTAGAACAAGGCGAGATTTTCAGAATATTGGTTGCACCTGTTTAAAAGAAAATACATTTACGCCACACCTGAATACAAGCCACAGGTTTTAATGTCATGTAGCAGAGAGAGGACTGTTTTAACTGGTCACAACGTGATTTAATGATGAGGTGTAGCTTCCATAACTTATTCACCAGTCTGTGTTAACAATAAACCAGTGTCCTATAGACTAAAGATAAGATAAGATTAACTTTATTGATCTCACAATGGAGAAATGTTGATGCTACATTTGGCAAAAAGACAGAAGTGTGCAACATGTTAAGGTTAATATTATAGTCTGTGCAGGATATAATCATGTACAATAAAAAGTGGCAATAGCAGTGCTGGTTCTTCAGTCCTAGTGTAGATCATTAGAGACTTAAAGTGACCTATTGTACAAAACTTAATGGAGTCCAAATAATAAATCCATAAAGTCTGCTCTGACATCTCTACCACAACGAGAATACACATATTGCTATAAACGCAGCAGGGGTAGAAGAACAAGGAAAAAGTAGCTGCTTATAGTCTGGAAAATACGGCTGGAAGTTGTTGCAAACAGAGACGGATATCTCCCTCAGGAGTTTTGTCAAAAACCCATCAAGGCGAAAAAATGTCGCACTTATGCAAAATGGAATCCACAGAATAATTTGTATACTTGATGCATTATTAAAGAAAACGTCCTTCCTTTGTTAAAATGATGCTTTGCTGTTTGTTTCGTTTTGAAACTTGTGCTCCATACCACAGAGATGGTCATGAGGAATAAAGAAACAAAGACAGATAAAGAAATAATGATTACAATTAGACCAGCAACCTGCTTGATATTAAATAATAAATGTACTACAGAGTTCTTCTCCTCTGTACCGTAGTTTTACCATAATGTTTCCAGACAGACTCATAGTTTCTGGAGTAGATTACAGTCATCCCCCTACAATCAATGATAAGATTAAGCTGAATCAAAAGAAGAATGACTTACAGTAATGTGCTCTTTATTGCTACTTCCTGTCGAGAATGTCCCATAAAACTGACCATGTCTTTGATCGCTGTGGTTATAGAACATTATGGTGTTGAATTATTACTGCAAGTCCTACACTCATGAAACTGACACTCGCCTTTACATATCTAATGCCATATATATACTCAATTTTCTTACCTTCACACGTCTACTATACAGTCGAGTGATTCGCTCTTAAGAATATGGGAACATGAAACGTGAAAGAGGTCTTTGTCAGCAGCTCAGACCCTGCATGCTTTCAGTCACTCATCTCATGTGAATCATTCAGAATCATTGGTCATGACGACGCTTCTATAGGATCACAATATCCGACACCGTTGCTTCAGAGAACAGAAAAGTAGTCTCAAGAAGTTCTGAAGTGGTATAGCACAGAAATAGGTCTATTCTATGTCTTTGTCTTGGTGGATGTGATTCAGTGTTTTTAAACCACAGTCTCCTCCGTGCGCCTGGACTTGTTGTATGCTTAATGCGTGAATGCAAGAGTTTAGTTTGCTTGATTATTTTTTACCTTAAAGACGTATTAAGAGAAAGTATGTATTCCCGTGATGTATTCTAAAGACTAAACTTCAAAGTAGTAACTCAAAAACAACGTTACATGTATTCCATTACTCCCCAACACTCTCAATGTCTATTTGTTGTTGTCTCTTTAGGCGCTTATTTTTCGCTTTAGCTATCATTGCTTGTAGCTATCATTATAACCTTGCTAATGACAGTACTTAAAAGACAACCCTGAGAATCACGGATCTCGCATCTCTCAAGTCAAAGCCCCTTTCTTTTTTTAAACGTGGGAAGAAAAACACATTCTTCAGCCGAGGCAAAAATATGCATCACCGTTGTCATGGTTTAGCGAGGAATGAGTGACAGTTTATGCAAATGACACCTTGCAGTCCCCAAAGGCCTCTGCAACACTTCTAATCACACGCAGTGATCATGGCGTCCCAGGTGCACGCTCATAAACCTGACGCAGGATCCTGCCTCACTGCTGACAAATCTTCAGGGAGCGTCACTCGCCAACACAGTTGTCACAGTCATCTGTCGAGCGCCGAACGAGCCCATAACAGTCATCGTCAGTGCATTAGGCTGCGTGAGGTTTGGAGCAAGTGCAGGCTTCTTACTATGACAAAGAGGGCGGTGTGCCTTCTATATGCAGCATTTAACCCGTCATCACCGTCTTTGTGACTGTAATGTAAAGTGAACAGGGAATATAATGAGTAATAATTATAGTGACACACCAGAGAGCACCACTTGTAATGTTGTGCTACGTATTTTGACACTGCCTTTCAATGCAATTCAATGTATTTTTGTATAGCCCTAAATCACAGGGCAACAGTCGCAGCAGTCGTCTCGGAGGACTTTAAAAAGTTGTCATTTCAGCAGCAACAGATCATAGAATCAAACTGTTTTAACACAGGCAATGCAATAATAACAAACACACCACTATCCATAAATGTTAATAAATGTACTTAAATGTCCCAGATCATCACTGTCCTTAGACCCTCCTGCATCAGCAAAGAACGACTCAAAAAACCCAGTGAGAAACCGCAGGGTTCTGGGGTTCAGGACTGAAGAGAGTGTGTCAGTGCAATGTGCAGACATCTCTTCAGACAAAGTTGCGACAACTATATTTTTCATTTAAGCCAAAATGGCCAAGTCGAGAGAATCCTTCAGATGGCTAAGTTCCGGTGGTTGGAGGACTGAATGACCTCTAACCTCTAAAAAAACTATAATATGTCCCCTTTAATGAATATACAAAGTATAGTAAGTTATCTGTATTTACAAAGCACCTTTCACAGACTAGAGTCACAAAGTACTCTCCACACAGAGAGCGGGGCCAGACCTATTGTGCATGTTTTTAGTGGGAGGGGAAACCGGAGCATCCGGAGGAAACCTGACAAACACTGTTTATACAGTATCTATATCTTACGCATGCGTTGTCAATATCTCAAGTCATGACATCTCTGTTTTTGTGCACACTGATACAACTCATATAAAAAGCTTTGACCGCTTTTTTTCGATCTGGAAGAACTCGAAAACTAAACCGGTTCACAAGTGCGAGAGCTGCTGCCTCTGTCTTCATTTCTTAACAGCAACAAAAAAGACAGGATAACAAACATATAAAATAATATTCAAATAAAACCAGGCCAATACTTGCAAACGGATCAAAAATCCACATGGGTTTCAGATGCACTCAAAACATTTTAGAGAAAAAAATAAATCATAAATAATAAATATAGGGCACATATGGAACTGAAGTGAATACTGCATTGTCCTGTGTAGTAATCATTAATACCATATGACAGTGCCTTTACAAAACAAGCACAAGAGGCGAGCTGAAACTCTCCGTCTATAAGGCCTGGCTCTGCAGGGACTCTCGGCCTAAGGGCTTGTTCACATTTACCCGTCTGAAGGACCCGGTTCACTTCAGACACAAATACACCATTCCCCATGACGTCTCTGATCTGTTTCAAATGAAGCTAACCGACTGATGTGAGAAGTGGACTCGGCTCTGCATATTTGCTGCTTTCGCGGTTCCAAGAGAGGAACTGGCACTTTTGGAGCACTTGAAGCACTTGCATAAAGGAACCATTCATCCATTCACAAACACATTCATAAACACATTTACAGACACAGTGTATGCAGACACGAGGGCGAGGCGGGTAAAGGGTCTTCGCCCAAAGACACAAAGGGACACAAAGGGACGCACAGGGACACATAGGGACACAAAGGGACGCACAAGGTTCACTGTATTTTGACCCAGACTGAATGCATCCTTCGATATGTTTGTGAGTGCTGTGCTTCCCAATCGGGGGTACGCAGGAGATATTACGGGGGGTACTTAAAATGATACTCCAACATTAATAGTAAGAGGTTAGTGGGTTGTTGTTCTACATATAATTCTCTCAACAAAACCACCACAACGGTTATTTTTATTATTTTATAGTCTAAAGATTGAACTTGGAACATAATTTCATGGTAATAATTATATAAAAGTTATGGCCTGTACTTCTTATTCTAGACCATAGGGTGCATTAAAGACTTTTTCTTGCCAAACCTGCACTTGAAAGCCTGATCCCATCAGACCTATGAAGCTGAGGGGCAGGGCCTGGGAGACCTTCTGGTACACCAGGTGTCACAGTGGGGCGGCTGCAGCTGTAAAGTGCCAATCTGTTCTCGTGTCCTTAGGCAAGACACTTCACCCAAATAGTGAGTGTGTGTGAATGACAGGGCTGATGGCACATAGTGGTTGCTTCGCTTCTGTCAGTGTGCCCAAGGGCAGCTGTGGCTACAGTAGTAGTTTATCACCATTATGTATGACAGCCGCGGCGCCAGGGGTAGGCCTGGGTAGGCCGGTGCCTACCAGTTTTTTTCTTGGCCTACTCAAATTTGTTCTTCGCCTCTCAAGTCATTAGCCTTTTTTATTAAAAGTCATAATTTAAATATTGTTATTTTTAAACACAAATTATTGCTAATGCCTAAATGTTGCATTCTAATGTTTTAAGAAAATATAACCCCCTGAGCGTCATCACGTTCTTGCGTTGCTTCAAATATAGTCCTGTTTTTGGCTGAACAATTTTGTCCAATATCATATCACACAGCGTGAAGCTCGTTCCCGAGAACAACCAGCTATTCCTCGTCTTAAAGATTGACAACGCTCTCAAAACATTCACAACAGAGCAGCCTTTTTCATTTTAGTTTTAAGAAAGTTCAGCGTGAACTTTGTGAGGCAGAGTAGCCAGAGGCCCGGGCTCGTAGGTCCCGGAGGAGGAGGGTCAGGCCAGGCTCGCCTCGCACTGATGAGGTAAACTCTAGGCCTGTGTGAGACTCACTGTGGGCCTCATGTATGAAACCTGCGTACGGCCAAATCAGGGTAAATGAGGCGTACGCAAAATATTACACTTTTCCGCATTTATCTATCTGGACGTGAGC